CCCATCCTCACCGTGGGGTGCCAGTGCCTGTTGGGGGGGGCCGCCGGGCAGCGCGGGCTCAGCGGGTGCCACCATGGTGGGCGCGGGCGGTGCCGCCAGCGGGTGCGCGGTGGGGGCCATGGGGGCTCCGGTGGGGCCGGGCAGGGGCTGGGGGGCTCCGGGGGGCAGCGGCGGCGGCGGCTGCTGCTGCTGCTGCTGCAGGTGCTGGAAGTGCTGCTGGCGCGCCCGCATCTCGGCGTACTTGAGCTGCTCCATGTGGAAGGCCTGCCGGTCGGCCAGCAGCTGCTGCCGCTGGTATTCCAGCTGGGAATAACGTTGGGAGGGGGTCAGCAAGGTGGGGGGGGGGTGGAAAACGGACCCCCCCCCCCCCCCATCACCTCCCAGCCCCGCTCACGGCCTCGCGCTCGCGGTCCATGATGGTCTCGAGCTCCTCGAAGTGCCGCAGTTTGATCTCCAGCTTCTTCATCTGCGTCTCCACCAGCAGCGCCACCAAGGACTTGATCTTGCGCTCCTCCACGGCCGCCAGGTGCTGCGGGGGGGGCGGTCAGACCCACATCCACCCCCCCCATACACACACGGACCCCCCCCCAGCCCCTCACCTTGGCCTTCACCGCGGCAGCAGCCAGCGCGGCGGCGGCCGCCGTGGACAGGTTCCCCTCGCCGATGTCCCGCTCCACCTTGGCCTTGCGCTCGCCTTCGGGCTCCGCTTGCTCCTTGGGGCCCTCCTCGGGGCCCTCCTTGGGCTCCTTCTCCTTCTCGGGCTCCCCTGGGTGGGACGGGGGCCGTGGCAATGGGGCAGGGCCATGGGGGGGGTTCGGCCCCGGCTCCAGCTCTGCCCCACGCTCACCTGCGCCGTCAGCATCGCCCTTGTCCGGCTCCTTCTCGCCCTCCGCCTCCTTCCCCTTCTCCTCCTCCTTCTTGGGGGCCTCCCCCGGCTTCTCCTTCACCTCCTCCTCGGGGGCTCCATCGCGGGGCTCCTGGGGGGCACGGACGGAGGGAGGAGATCAGGTCCTGCCCCATTCCCTGCCCCATCCCTACCCCATTCCCTGCCCCATTCCCTGCCTCATTCCCTGCCCCATCCCTAACCCCAACCCTGCCCCATCCCTATCCCATTCCCTGCCCCATCCCTACCCCATTCCCTGCCTCATTCCCTGCCCCATCCCTACCCCATTCCCTGCCTCATTCCCTGCCCCATCCCTAACCCCAACCCTGCCCCATCCCTCCCTGCCCCATCCCTACCCCATTCCCTGCCTCATTCCCTGCCCCATCCCTACCCCATTCCCTGCCTCATTCCCTGCCCCATCCCTAACCCCAACCCTGCCCCATCCCTATCCCATTCCCTGCCCCATCCCTACCCCATTCCCTGCCTCATTCCCTGTCTCATCCCTAACCCTATCCCTACCTCATTCCCTGCCCCATCCCTGCCCCATTCCCTAACCCCATCCCTACCCCATTCCCTGCCTCATTCCCTGTCTCATCCCTAACCCTATCCCTACCTCATTCCCTGCCCCATCCCTATCCCATTCCCTGCCCCATTCCCTGCCCCATCTCAGCCCCATCCCAGCCCCACAACCCCCCTGGTCCAGCCCCCACCTTCGCCTCCTTCTTCTCCTCCGCCGGCTGCGCCTCTGCCCGTGCCTCCTCAGCACCGCTCTCCTCTGTGGGGCAGGATGGGGTGGGGGGGGCACAAGGGCAGGGTCAGTGCCGTGCCCCCCCCCATGCTCTCCCCCCATGGCTCTGGGCTCACCCCCACGCTCGGGCTCCTCGGCGGCGGTGCCGGCGATGCCGCTGCTCTCGAGGCCGAAGGCCGGGTCAGCCTTGCCGGTCACCTTGGCCGCCTCCTCCACCTTGCGCACGTGGGCCTCCACCAGCGCCGTGGGCACCTCCTCCTTCATCCTGGAGAACTCCTCTGTGGGGCAGAGACCCCATGGGAGGGGGGCTCCCCGCAGGCCTCGCCCCATCGCCCCTCCAGGGCTCGGCTCTTTCCCCATAGGGCTTCTTCCCTACAGGGCTCTTCCTGCCTCCCCAGCGCATCCCTGCCTCCCTGGAGGGCTCCCTACAGCGCTGAGACCCTCTCCCCATAGACCCTGCCCCTCTCCCCATAGACCCTGCCCCTCTCCCCATAGACCTTGCCCCTCTCCCCATAGACCTTCCCATCTCCCCATAGACCTTGCCCCTCTCCCCATAGACCTTCCCATCTCCCCATAGACCTTGCCCGTCTCCCCACAGACCATACCCCTCTCCCCACAGACCTTGCCCATCTCTCCATAGACCGTGCTCCTCTCCCCATAGGCCTTGTCACATCTCCCTGAACAACTTCCTATAGGACTCATCCCATCTCCCCACAGAACTCCCCCTAGGACCCATTCCCATCTTGCTACAGGCCCCATCTCCCTGCAGGACTGCTTGCCCCATAGGACTCCCTCTAGACCTTCTCCTCTCCCCATAGGATTCATTATCACATCTCCCTCATCCCATAGCACAACTTCCTATTCCTGTAGCACTCATCCCATCCTTCCACAGCCCTCCCACAGATCTCATCCCTCTCCCTACAGGACTCATCCCTCATCCCATAGCACTCATCCCATAGCACTCATCCCTCATCCCATAGCACTCATCCCATAGCACTCATCCCATAGCACTCATCCCTCATCCCATAGCACTCATCCCATTCTTCTACAGCATTCCTTTAGCACTCATCCCATCCTTCCACAGCCCTCCCACAGCTCTCACCCCTCTCCCTACAGGACTCACCCCTCATCCCATAGCACTCACCCCTAATCCCATAGCGCTCATCCCATAGCACTCATCCCATCCTTCTACAGCATTCCTGTAGCACTCATCCCATCCTTCCACAGCCCTCCCACAGCTCTCACCCCTCTCCCTACAGGACTCACCCCTCATCCCATAGCACTCATCCCATAGCACTCATCCCTCATCCCATAGCATTCATCCCATCCTTCCGCAGCCCTCCCACAGCTCTCACCCCTCTCCCTACAGGACTCACCCCTCATCCCGTAGCACTCATCCCATAGCACTCACCCCTAATCCCATAGCACTCATCCCTCATCCCATAGCATTCATCCCATAGCACTCATCCCTCATCCCATAGCACTGATCCCATAGCACTCACCCCTAATCCCATAGCGCTCATCCCATCCTTCCACAGCCCTCCCACAGCTCTCACCCTCTCCCTACAGGACTCACCCCTCATCCCATAGCACTCATCCCTCATCCCATAACACTCATCCCATCCTTCCGCAGCCCTCCCACAGCTCTCACCCCTCTCCCTACAGGACTCATCCCTCATCCCGTAGCACTCATCCCATCCTTCTATAGCATTCCCATAGCGCTCATCCCACCCTTCCGCAGCCCTCCCACAGCTCTCACCCCTCTCCCTGTGTGCCTCATCCCCCCTAACCCATCCCTCTCCCCACAGGCCCCATCCTGCTCCCCGCTGCGTTACCCAGCGCGGACTTGGCGGCGGCGGAGGCCACGCGGGGGTCCACGACGGAGGCCAGGAAGGCCACGGTGCTCATGACGGGGTTCCCGGACTGGCTGAAGGGGATGGGCTGGAAGGCCAAGGGCCCCAGCGACGCCTCCGAGTCCTCCAGGTACGGGTCCTCGATGGGCAGGCGCAGGAAGTGCAGGATGCACTCGTCCTGCGTGCGGCTGCCCACGTGCTCCGACACCTTGTTCCAGTCGTCCTTGTACATCTCCAGCGCCTGCAAGGGGGGCAATGGGACTGTTACCCCAGCGGTGCTTGGGGGGGCAATGGGGGGCAACGGAACCGTTACCCCAGCGGTGCTTGGGGGGGCAATGGAACCGTTACCCCAGCGGTGATTGGGGGGGCAATGGAACCGTTACCCCAGCGGTGCTTGGGGGGGCAATGGGGGGCAATGGAATCGTTATCCCAGTGTTGCTTGGGGGGGCAATGGGGGGCAACGGAACCGTTATCCCAGCGGTGCTTGGGGGGGCAATGGGGGGCAATGGAATCGTTACCCCAGCGGTGATTGGGGGGCCAATGGGGGGCAATGGAATCGTTATCCCAGTGTTGCTTGGGGGGGTAATGGGGGGCAATGGAATCGTTATCCCAGTGGTACTCCTGGAGGGGGAGCAATGGGGGCAATGGAACCGTTATCCCATCAGTGCTTGGGGGGGGCAACGGAACCGTTACCCCAGCGGTGATTGGGGGTGCAATGGGGGGCAATGGAATTGTTATCCCAGTGTTGCTTGGGGGGGCAATGGGGGGCAATGGAACCATTATCCCATCAGTGCTTGGGGGGGAGCAATAGAACCATTATCCCAGCGGTGCTTGGGGGGGCAATGGGGGGCAATGGAATCGTTATCCCAGCGGTGATTGGGGGGGCAATGGAACCGTTACCCCAGCGGTGCTTGGGGGGGCAATGGGGGGCAATGGAACCGTTATCCCATCAGTGCTTGGGGGGGTAATGGGGGGCAATGGAACCGTTACCCCAGCGGTGCTTGGGGGGGCAATGGAACCGTTACCCCAGCAGTGCTTGGGGGGGCAATGGGGGGCAATGGAACCGTTATCCCATCAGTGCTTGGGGGGGGCAATGGGGGGCAATGGAACCGTTATCCCAGCAGTGCTTGGGGGGGGAGCAACAGAACCATTATCCCAGTGGTGCTTGGGGGGGGGGCAATGGGGTGCAATGGAACCATTATCCCAGCAGTGCTTGTGGGGGGGGTCAATGGCCCCGTTATTCCCCCAGTGCTTGTAGGGGTGTCAATGGGGTGCAATGGCCTTGTTATCCCCCTCAGTGCACCCCCCTCAATGGGATGCAATGGTCCTGTTATCCCCCCAGTGCTTGTGGGGCTGTCAATGGGGTGCAATGGCCCTGTTATCCCCCCAGTGTCTTTGGGGGGGGGTCTAAGGGATGCAACGGCCCTGTTATCCCCCCAATGTCTTTGGGGAGGGGGTCTAAGGGATGCAATGGCCCTGTTATCCCCCCAGTGTCTCTGGGGAGGGGGGTCTAAGGGATGCAATGGCCCTGTTATCCCCCCAGTGTCTTTGGGGAGGGGGTCTAAGGGATGCAATGGCCCTGTTATCCCCCCAGTGTCTTTGGGGGGGGTCAAAGGGATGCAATGGCCCTGTTACCCCCCCAGTACTTGTGGGGCTGTCAATGGGGTGCAGTGGCCTCGTTATCCCATCAGTGTTTTGGGGGGGGGGGGGAGATCAATGGGGTCCTTTGTCCCCATTATCCCCCCAGTGCCTGCAGGACGCAGTTGGGGGGGGGGGGTGTTCAATGGGGTCCCCTATACCCCCCCTCCCACCCCACTCACCTCCAGCAGCAGCAGCGTCTCCTGCTCCGTCCACTCCCGCGTGGCGCTGGCGGCCGCTTTGCTCTATGGGGATGGAGATGGGGTGGGAGGGGGGGGGGGGCTGAGCGCTGGTTGGGGGTCAGGGTGTGTGGGGCAGGGGGGGCACCTTGGCAGGGACGTTCCTCTTGCTGTACATGTCCGTGCGGAGCCCGAAGTTCTGCAGCTCCGCCGGCTTCTCCTTGCCCTTGTCGGGGAAGTTGAGCATCTGCTGCGCGGCCGCGCTCTGCTGTGGGGCAGGGGGGGGACACACACACAGGACACTGGGCACGGCGCCGTGGGGAGGACGCTGCTCCCATCCCGCCCCATTGAACCCTCAGTGCCCCCCCCCCCTTTGCTCCATGGGGCAGGGCTGCATGCGGGGCGCGAGGGGGAGGAGGGAAGGAGCCTTCCTCGGGGGCCGGCCCCCCCCCTGCCCCCCCGGGAGCCGCTCACCAGCTCCGGCTTCCCCTTGGTGGGCTCCGGGCCCAGCTCCTCCAGGTCTTTGCTCTTGCGCCCGGTCTTGGCCTCGCCGTCGCTCTGCCGGCCCTGGGGCACGAGGGAAGCTGTGCGACCCCCCCCCCCCACCCCCGGGGGCAGGCAGAGGAGGGGAGGATGCAGCCGAACCCCCCCCCACCAGCACCCACCTGGGGGGTCTTGGGCTGCAGCGGCACCAGCCCCGAGGGGGTGTCAGCCAGGACGTGGAAGTGGGAGGTGGGGGGCGGCCCCATGGGGGTGGGCCGGCTCTCGGCGTCCACTTGGTAGTTGATGAGGCCCCACTGCTCCAGGAAGGCGTGGACCCTGCGGGGAAGCGGCCTCAGCGCCCAACGGCTCCCGATGGATCCCATGGATCTCACTAGAGCCCACAGATCCCCACGGATGCCAATGGACCCCAACAGATCCCATGGATGCCAACGAATCCCAATGGATGCCAATGGATACCCATGGATGCCAATGAATCCCAATGGATGCCAACGAATCCCAATGGATGCCAATGGATACCCATGGATGCCAATGAATCCCAATGGATGCCAATGGATACCCATGGATGCCAATGAATCCCAACGGATGCCAATGGATACCCATGGATGCCAATGGATGCCAATGAATCCCAATGGATGCCAATGGATACCCATGGATGCCAATGAATCCCAATGGATGCCAATGGATACCCATGGATGCCAATGAATCCCAATGGATGCCAATGGATACCCATGGATGCCAATGAATCCCAATGGATGCCAATGGATACCCATGGATACCACTGAATCCCAATGGATGCCAATGGATGCCCATGGATACCAATGAATGCCAATGGATCCCAATGGATGCCAATGAATCCCAATGGATACCCATGGATGCCAATGGATCCCAATGGATGCCCATGGATGCCAATGGATGCCAATGTTTCCCATGGGTGCCAATGGATGCCAATGGATCCCAATGGATGCCAATGGATACCCATGGATGCCAATGGATCCCAATGGATGTCAATGGATACCCATGGATGCCAATGGATCCCAATGGATGCCCATGGATGCCAATGTTTCCCATGGATGCCAATGGATGCCCATGGATCCCGACAGATCCCATGGATGCCAATGGATGCCAATGGACGCCCATGGATCGCATGGATGCCAATGGATCTGAATGAAAGCCCATAGATGCCAACAGATCCCAAAGGATGCCCATGGATCCCAATGAATGCCCATGGATCCCACAGATGCCAATGGATGCCCATGGATCCCAATGAATGCCCATGGATCCCACAGATGCCAATGGATGGCCATGGATGCCAGTGGATCCCAATGGATGCCTATGGATCCCAATGAATGCCCATGGATCCCAATGAATGCCCATGGATCCCAATGGATGCCTATGGATCCCAATGGATGCCCATGGATAACGAAGGGGTCCCACGGACGCCACGGGGTCGCAGCGGCTCGCAGCGGATGCGCGGGGCCGTACCGCATGATGGCGCAGACGTCGCCGGCCAGGTTGCGGCGGCAGGCGGTGGAGGTGAGGTACTCCTGCGGGTTGAGGCGGTACGTGTCGATCATGAAGTTCCGGTAGGCCAGGTAACTGCGGGCGAACGGGGGCCTCAGCACCGGCACCGCGGCACCGCGGGCACCGGCGGCACCGAGCTTCCGGGCCTCACATCTCCGGGGTCTTGGATTTGTTCTTCCCATTGAAGAACTCAGGCAGGGCTCGGCGCTCGATGGCGTGGACGCTGCGGAGGGGGGAGCGTCAAGGAGGGCCCGGGGGGGGTCCCCCAGCACCACCCTCACCCCCATCCAGGATTGGGCCCTACCTGTTGTAGTCGAACCAGGCGGCGTAGCTGGGGATGATGATGTGATGGGTCTGCTCCGTCACGTTGTCCTCGTGCAGCTCCGGGTTCTTGGCCTGCTCCCCCTTGCTCCCGGTGCCGTTCTCCTCCTCGTCCTGCCCCAGACCAGCACCGCCTGAACCCCTTCGCTCCGGGACCCTCCCCATCCCTCACGCAGGGCAGGATGAGGCCCCAGCAGCCGCAGGAGCCCCGCTCACCTTCCCGGCCGTCTCCATGCTCTCATCCTCCTGCTCATCTGGAATGGGGGGGAACAGGGATGGGGAGCTATGGGGCTGGGGGGGGGAGGGGGTCCTGCCCCACTGCTCATCCCCGCTGGCTCCCACTCACCCAGGTCTGTCATGGTCCCCCCCTTGACGGGCGCAGACTCCGAGTCCTTCTTGGTGTTCACTGCGGCAAAGGGAAGCGGCGCTGAGCACCCCCAACCCGTGCTGGTGACCAGAGCCCGGGGGCGGTGGGGGGCACCCCACGGACCTGTCTTGGGCAGGGTGACCTCCTCCACGTTGGGCACGGGCGAGGGCTCGTCCATGTCCTTGGTCAGATCCTCCTGCTCCTCCTCGCGGTGCCCCCGCTTGGACTTGGTGTAAGGGGTGGAGGGGCTGCGAAGGGACAAAGAGAGACCCCCCCCATGGCCCCATCACCACCAGAGCCCCCCCCCCACCCTTCAGGGCCCTGCCCCTCCGGTCCCCCCCCCCCGGGGGCTCACCCCTTCTTCGCGTTCTTCTTCTTGGCCTCGGGGGTGGGCGAGGGCGAGCGCTTGCGCTTCTTGTAGTTGCCCCCCTTCTTGTCCCTGCGGTCCGAGTCGGGGCTGTTCACCTGGGGGGGTGTCAGGACATGGGGGGGTGTCACTGTGGCCAAGCAGAGACCCCCCCATCCCTATAGCACCCCCCTATCCCCATAGCACCCCCCTATCCCCATAGCATCCCCCCCATCCCCATAGCACCCCCCCATCCCCATAGCATCCCATAGCACCCCCCTATCCCCATAGCAACCCCCCTATCCCCATAGCATCCCCATAGCATCCCCCCCATCCCCATAGCATCCCCCCATCCCCATAGCATCCCCCCCATCCCCATAGCATCCCCCCATCCCCATAGCACCCCCCCATCCCCATAGCAACCCCCCATCCCCATAGCACCCCCCCATCCCCATAGCATCCCCCCCATCCCCATAGCACCCCCCCATCCCCATAGCATCCCCCCATCCCCATAGCATCCCCCCCATCCCCATAGCATCCCCCCCATCCCCATAGCACTCCCCCATCCCCATAGCATCCCCCCCCATCATCCCATCCCCATAGCACCCCCCCATCCCCACAGCATCCCCCCACACCGACCTCATCCGTCAGGGTCTTGGCTGAGATCTTCTTCCTGCGGGCGCCGGGGCTCTTCTCGTCCTGCACCTCGTAGTCCTCCTCATTCATCCACTCATTGAAGGTGTCCGTGTCCAGGATCCACTTGGCATGGACCTGAAGGGGGGGGGGGGCTGCAGCCTCCATCCTGGCACCGGTTTGGGGTGCGGGGGGAACACAGCAACAGGGATCCCCCCCCGCCCCGTTACCTTCCGGGGCTTCTCCGGGGTCGGAGCATCCTCAACGGAGGCTTCGATTTCGCTGGCGGGGATCCAGGTGTCGTAGCTGGGGGGCAATGGGGGGGGGACACCCAATGGGCAGAGAGGGGGCCCTCGGGCTCCATCCACGCCAACCCCCCCCCCGTCGCCCCTCACCTGTCAGGGTAATAGCCCCAGTGCAGCAGGACCTGTTTGTCGCGCTTCATCACGGGCCGGACCCACTCCTCTGCGGGACAAGGGGGCTGAGCACCCGCAGCACCCATAGGACCCATAGCACCCACAGCACCCATAATGCCCATAGCACTCACAGCACCCATAGCAGCCACAGCACCCATAGCATCCACAGCATCTGCAGTACTCACAGCACCCACAGCTCCCACAGCATCCATAGCACCCACAACATCCGCAGCACCCTCAGCACCCATACCATCCTCAGCACTCCCAGCACCCATAGCAGCCATAGACCTCACAGCACTCACCCCCAGCAGCACCCCCAGCACCCCTAGCACCCCCAGCATCCATAGCAGCCATAGTACCCATAGCACCCCCAGCACCCCCAAGACCCATAGCACCCATAGTACCCATAGCACCCCCAGCACCCATAGCAGCCACAGCACCCACAGCACCCATAGTACCCATAGCACCCCCAGCAGCCATAGCAGCACCCATAGCACCCCCAGCACCCATAGCACCCCCAGCAGCCACAGCACCCATAGCAGCACCCATAGCACCCCCAGCACCCATAGCAGCCACAGCACCCCCAGCACCCATAGCAGCACCCATAGCACCCCCAGCACCCATAGCAGCACCCATAGCACCCCCAGCCCCGCTCCCACGGGGGTCCCCCTGCACCCACCCTCCTCCAGGTTCCCGGGCACGGGGCACACGATGTGGGAGGCGCTGCTCTTGTCCTCGGTCACGGTGCCCTGTGGGGTGGGGGGGAACAACAAGGTTGGGGGGCTGGAGGGGGGGGGCGTTGGGTGCAGGCCCCATAGGGACCCCCCCCGGGGCCACGGACCTGGTGCCGCTTGACGATGTCCTTGAGCTTGCTCAGCAGCTTGGGCTCCAGCTCCTGCTGCAGGAAGATGTTGGGCCGGGCCAGGCAGTTGTTCTATGGGGGGGGAAGGATGGTGCTGAGCAATGGGGTCACAGTGAGGGGGGGCCCGGGGGGGTCCGGGTCTGACCTGCACCAGGCTCTTCTCGATGGTCATGAACATCTCCACGTTGCGGTCCATGCGCGACGGGTTCTGGAAATCGAAACGCCGCCTTGTTGGGAGACAAGAGGGAGGCAGTGAGAGCCCCAGCTCCGGCCCGGGGGGGCACGGCCACGGCCCAGCCCCATTGGGGTCCATGGTGGGGGCACGGCCACGGCCCAGCCCCATTGGGGTCCATGGGGGGGGGCACGGCCACGGCCCAGCCCCATTGGGGTCTCAGGGCGGGGGGCACGGCCACGGCTCAGCCCCATCGGGGGGCACGGCCACGGCTCAGCCCCATTGGGGTCCATAGGGCAGGGTGGGGGCATGGCCACGGCTCAGCCCCATTGGGGTCCATAGGGCAGGGCGGGGGGCACGGCCACGGCCCAGCTCCATTGGGGTCCATAGGGCAGGGCGGGGGGCACGGCCACGACGGGCGGGGGCACGGCCACGGCTCAGCCCCATTGGGGTCCATGGGGGGGGCACGGCCATGGCCCAGCCCCATTGGGGTCCATGGGGGGGGCACGGCCACGGCCCAGCCCCATTGGGGTCCATGGGGGGGGCACGGCCACGGCCCAGCCCCATTGGGGTCCATAGGGCAGGGTGGGGGCATGGCCACAGCTCAGCCCCATTGGGGTCCATAGGGCAGGGCGGGGGGCACGGCCACGGCTCAGCCCCATTGGGGTCCATAGGGCAGGGCGGGGGGCACGGGGGCTCAGCCCCATTGGGGTCCATGGGGGGGGCACGGCCAGCCCAGGGGGTCCCAGGCCCCTCATTGGGGTCCATGGGGGGCACGGCCACGGCTCAGGGGGTCCATGGGGGGGGCACGGCCACGGCTCAGCCCCATTGGGGTCCATAGGGCAGGGCGGGGGGCACGGCCACGGCTCAGCCCCATTGGGGTCCATAGGGCAGGGCGGGGGGCACGGCCACGGCTCAGCCCCATTGGGGTCCATAGGGCAGGGCGGGGGGCACGGCCACGGCTCAGCCCCATTGGGGTCCATGGGGGGGGCACGGCCACAGCCCAGCCCCATTGGGGTCCATAGGCCCAGCCCCATTGGGGTCCATAGGGCAGGGTGGGGGGCACGGCCACGGCCCAGCCCCATTGGGGTCCATGGGGGGGGGCACGGCCACGGCCCAGCCCCATTGGGGTCCATAGGGCAGGGCGGGGGGCACGGCCACGGCTCAGCCCCATTGGGGTCCATAGGGCAGGGTGGGGGCATGGCCACGGCTCAGCCCCATTGGGGTCCATAGGGCAGGGTGGGGGCATGGCCACAGCTCAGCCCCATTGGGGTCCATGGGGGGGGCACTCACCAGCCTTGGTCGCTCTTGAACTTGTAGGCAGCGGCCAGGATGTGGCACAGGGACCCCCCCGCCTTGAAGTCCAGGAAGCATTTGATCTGCAGGGGGGAAGAAAGGGGGCATGGGGGGGGGGGTGGGGGCCAGCCCCACATCTATGGGGCACTGCTCCTGCCCCATGGGGGAGCACTGTCTCAATGGAGGTGGGACCCATGGGAGTCCCCTGCTCATTGGGTGTCACTGAGGGGACTGTCCCTGGGGCATCAGTGGGGTCTCATCCCCCATCTATGGGGCATTCCCCCCTATCCCAATGGATGTGGCACCCATGGGAGTCCCCTGCTCATTGGGAGTCACCTGGAGCATCAACAGGGCCTCACCCCCATCTATGGGGCACTGTCCCTGCCCCACGGCCCGGGCCCTGTCCCAATGGGGGTGGGCCCCATAGCAGTCCCCTGGAGCATCACTGGGGCCTCACTCCTCATCTATGGGGCACTGCCCCTGCCCCATTGGGGGGTAGGACCCATGGGAGTCCCCTCCTCATTATGGGGGGGCTGTCTCTGGGGCATCACTGGGGCCTCACCCCCCATCTATGGGGCACTGCCCATGCCCCATAGGGGGACCCTGCCCCAACAGGGGTGGGACCCATGGCAGTCCCCTGGGCCATCACTGCGGCCTCACCCCCCACCTATGGGGCACTGCCCGCGGCTGAGGCCCTGTCCCCCCCCCAGCATCCCCATGGCCATCACCGGGGCCTCGGCCGGCCCCGCTCCGGGGGCGCTGGCGTTAGCGGCGCCGGGCGCTCACCGGGAGCTTGGTGAGCGGCGCGTTGCTGACGTGCTTCCCGAACACCTCCTCCTGGAACTGCAGCAGCTGCACCACGAGGCTCGACAGGGACTTGTTGGTGGGGGGCTCGGCCTGGATGTACTGCGGGCACCGGGGCCTCCGCTCACCGACGGCAATGGCGGCCGGGCCCGGTGAAGCGAGCAGCGGCCCCGCGCTCCGTTCACCCCCCCCCCGGTTCTCCCGGTTCCCTTTTTACCTTCTTGTAGTTCTTGCCCAGCCACAGCCGGACGTTGTCGAACTGGCTCACGGTGTCCGAGGCCTCGTAGTACTTCACGTTGGGGCCGCCGTCCTTCTTCCGCACCGCCATCTTGGAGCGGGGCCGCCTCCTCCCCGCCGCCGCGCTGCAGCGCCCCCTAGCGGCGACGCAAAGCACGCACGCGTTGTGGCGCCCCCTGCCGGCTGTTCCGCACCTCGCACACATCACGCACCCCCCCCCCCCAGCCAAAAAACGCTCCCGTTTCGCCGCGGTGCTCCCCGGTGTTTCCCGTTATCCCGGTGGCAACGGGAGCGATGGAACGGGAGCGATGGGGGTAAAGGATGGGAGCGGGGAGGATGCGGTGGGAGCCGCTCTAGGCGGAGCGCGGCGGAGGGAGGCGCGGGAGTCACGGTGGCCGAGTGGTTAAGGCGTTGGACTCGAAATCCAATGGGGTTTCCCCGCACAGGTTCGAATCCTGTCCGTGACGGAACCCGTTCCTTTTCTTTCTTTTTGGGGGGGGGAACCCCGCATCCAAACCTTATTCTTTTCAATGCGGGACACCGTAAAACGGGGGGACCACCCCCCCACAACACCACCATTGACCCTCAGCATCGCTCTCGGGAGCACGGAGCTAAAGGAAGGAGAACGCCGTTTATTGATGGCTGCAGCCCCGTGCCCACCGGGGTAGGAAATCCGGTTAAACCCAACCGAAACGGCCAATAAATTAAAAGGTCCCGAGGGGAACGGGGGGGTGGGAGCCAGCCCCGAGCCCTATCCGGGGGCTCGGGGGCCGGTCCCTAGGCTCCAATCAGCGCCAACCAAGAGAAGGGCAAAGCCAAACCGGACCCACGGGCACTGAAGGAAGAGCAGAGAGAACGGGAGCCACCCAAGGGGTGCATGCACAGAGCGAGGGTGCTGAGCCCCCCCCCCGCCCCCTTTTGGCTTGGGGAATCCAGAGGGAGATGGATCCAGCGCCCACAAGTCCTTGGAAGCGAAAGGATGGAGATGAAAGGGCTGAGGACCACGAGGATGGAGGCGGCTCCATCACCATGGGGTTCCTTCAGATCTCCTCCACGCCGTGAGCGAAGATCATGACGAGCCCCGGCTCGAGGACCATGTCCTCGCCCATGTGCTGGTTCTCGCAGGCCATCACCACCACGGCCTGCTTGCCGGGGATGCGTTTGGCCACGTAGTTCTCGTAGTAGCGCCGGTTCATTTGCCGCGTCTCCAGCGTGGCCAAGCCTTGGGGCCAGTTGCGCTCGTGCGCGTTCTCGATGAGCTCGTTGGTGATGGACGGGGGGCAGCCGCTCTCCACCAGCGAGCGCTTGATGACGGCCTGGAGCACGGCGTCCGGCGTGGAGATCATCCCCCCCCAGCGCGTCACCCGCGCCGGCTGCAGGGAGTTCACCCACCTGCGGGCACAGCGCGGGCAGGATCAGTGCCCGCGGCTCTGCTGCCCTAGGGCATCACGGAGCGGAGCATCCCCCTGGCATGGGGCAGCCAAACCGGCTCCGGTCACCCACCACGAGCTTCCCTCGCCCCCAACCTGAACCCGGGCCAGTTTGAACTCATCACCTCTTGTGTCCCCCCCCTCTGCACCCAGCTAACGTGGTCAGAAGCTGCCTCCTTCCCAAAGAAGCTTTGGATGCAAGTGGGAAGCTGCGGATGCTCCATGGTGCCAGCAGCTCCCAGCACCAATCCTGCTCCCCAGCACCCCTTGAATCCCGAGCACTTACTCCAGGATCTCGTTGTACTCAATGGTCTCCTCCAGGTTCTGCAGGTTGGGGTTCACGCTGCGGATGGCGCGCATGTAGGCCTTGAGCAGTTGGATGTCCCTCTTCTGCAATGACATCGGGGGGGGGAACGGGGACGGGACCTTCCCATCGTCACTGCTGGGCCACGAGGTGCCCCCACGGCACCCTCAGCCACCTCCTTCACCCTGGGGTCCCTGTGGGCATCCCTGTGGGCACCCCTATGTGCACCTCTATGGGCATCCCTGTGGGCATCCCTGTGGGCATCCCTGTGGGCATCCCTGTGGGCATCCCTGTGGGCACCCCTATGTGCACCTCTATGGGCATCCCTGTGGGCATCCCTATGGACATCCCTGTGGGCATCCCTGTGGGCACCCCTATGTGCACCTCTATGGGCATCCCTGTGGGCATCCCTATGGACATCCCTGTGGGCATCCCTGTGGGCACCCCTATGGGCACCCCTATGGGCACCTCTATGGGCATCCCTATCTGCATCCCTGTGGGCATCCCTGTGGGCACCCCTATGTGCACCTCTATGGGCATCCCTGTGGGCATCCCTATGGACATCCCTGTGGGCATCCCTGTGGGCACCCCTATGTGCACCTCTATGGGCATCCCTGTGGGCATCTCTATGGGCATCCCTATGGACATCCCTGTGGGCATCCCTATGTGCACCTCTATGGGCATCCCTGTGGGCATCCCCATGGACATCCCTGTGGGCATCTCTATGGGCATCTCTGTGGGCATCCCTGTGGGCATCCCTGTGGGCACCCCTATGTGCACCTCTATGGGCATCCCTATCTGCATCTCTGTGGGCTCCCCTATATGCACCTCTATGGGCATCCCTGTGGGCATCTCTATGGGCATCCCTGGCACACATGGACCCACCTGCTCTGCCAGTTGGTGCTTGTGCTCAGCTGAGGTCTTCTCCAGCTCAGCGATCCTGGTCTGCTGCTGCTGCACCACGGATCGCAAGTGCTTGATGCAGTTGTGGTTGGGGAGCTCATCCTTGGGCATTTCCAAGCTGGGGAGGAGGACGGGACAAGGAGAAGGGGAGGGAGTTACACAGCAGAGCACTCAGCATTGCCACGGGAACAGGCTCCAGGATGAATCCAGCCAGGAGATGCTGGAAGCTGGGATGGGTGCAGGAGCACCGGCTCCCTGCAGGGGATGAGCTATGGCGGGCAATGGGGATGCTCCAGAGCTCCCCCCACACCCGAACCTCCTCCATCCGAGCTCGGCTGGCCCCCAAGCTGATCCATCCACGCATCCTGCCTGCATGCTCACTGCACATGGGTGGGATGGGGACGGGCACCAAGTGCTCCCACCGGAGCTGAAATGGCTCTGGATGGATCCAGGAGCCGGGCAGCCTGGGGCTTCCAGCCAGCACTACAAAGGACGGGGTCCCCTCCACCACAACCACCCCATCGGAACCACGGCCCCAGGGCCCGCTTTGGGTTGGAACGGACCCTACATGAATGCAGGGAGCAAGAGGCCGGGCTCACGTCCCACCCCCTTCCAGCCAAGCTGAACCCCCCGGCGCCGGGTGCAGGCTCACCCGCAGCCCTGCTCGCAGGTGACGGGGCGCTTGGGGTTGTGCTCGCAGTCGTTGAGGTGAGCCATGAGGTTGTCGAGGCGCACGACGGCCGTGCAGCCGAAGACGGCGTTGTCGCAGGTGATCTGCAGCTTGGAGAGCATGTTCCGCATGATGCGCGGCACGGGCCGCAGGTGAGCCACCGTCACCACGCTGCGGTCCACGGGGCACGTCTGCTGCTGCGAGAACCACTGCGTGATGCAGGCGTTGCAGAAGGCGTGCTCGCAGTGGGGAGCCTGCAGGAGCAAGGGCAGCGGTGACGGAGGGCACCGGAGCATCGCTGAGTGAGGACCGGAGCATCACTGAGTGAGGACCGGAGCATCACCGAGTGAGGACCGGAGCATCACTGAGTGAGGACCGGAGCATCACCGAGTGAGGACCAGAGCATCACTGAGTGAGGACCGGAGCATCACCAGGTGAGCACCAGAGCATCGCTGAGTGAGCACCGGAGCATCACCGAGTGAGGACCGGAGCAGCATTGGATCATTGATCCAGAAGATCAGAGCATCAGTGGATCATTGAGCCAAAGGATGAAAGCATCATTGGATCACTGATCCAGAGGATCAGAGCAGCATTGGATCATCGATGCAGAGGATCAGAGCAGCATTGGATCACTGACCCAGAGGATCAGAGCACCATTGGATCACTGATCCAGAGGATCAGAGCAGCATTGGATCATCGATCCAGAGGATCAGAGCAGCACTGGATCATCGATCCAGAGGATCAGAGCACCATTGGATCATCAATCCAGAGGATCAGAGCACCATTGGATTATCGATCCGGAGGATCAGAGCAGCAGTGGATCATCGATGCAGAGGATCAGAGCACCATTGGATTATTGATCCAGAGGATCAGAGCAGCATTGGATCATTGATCCAGAGGATCAGAGCAGCATTGGATTATTGATCCAAAGGACCAGAGCACCATTGGATCATTGATCCAGAGGATCAGAGCACCATTGGATCATCGATCCAGAGGATCAGAGCACCATTGGATCATTGATCCAGAGGATCAGAGCATCAGTGGATCATTGATCCAAAGGACCAGAGCACCATTGGATTATTGATCCAGAGGATCAGAGCAGCATTGGATCATTGATCCAAAGGACCAGAGCACCATTGGATCATTGATCCAGAGGATCAGAGCACCATTGGATCATTGATCCAGAGGATCAGCGCATCAGTGGATCATTGATCCAAAGGACCAGAGCACCATTGGATCACTGACCCAGAGGATCAGAGCACCATTGGATCATTGATCCAGAGGATCAGAGCATCAGTGGATTATTGATCCAAAGGACCAGAGCACCATTGGATTATTGATCCAGAGGATCAGCGCATCAGTGGATCATTGATCCAAAGGACCAGAGCACCAGTGGATCATCGATCCAGAGGATCAGAGCAGCACTGGATCATTGATCCAAAGGACCAGAGCACCAGTGGATCATCGATCCAGAGGATCAGAGCACCACTGGATCATTGATCCAGAGGATCAGAGCATCAGTGGATCATTGATCCAGAGGATCAGAGCACCATTGGATCACTGAGCCAGAACATCAGAGCATCATCATGGAGTCGGATCAGAGCACCACTGCACCACTGACCCAACTGGGCTGGAAAAGAGCCTGGAGACCAAATGCAAGCCCCACGTCAGGAGGCGCAGGGACAGGACAAGGGCTGACGGGATCGAACCGGAGCAGCTGAACCCCACGCAGAGCCTCGATGCCCACACGGAGGAGCGAGAGCCCCACCAGCAGCAGAGCTCTCCCCGCCCCGGCTCAGGAGGTGGCCATCACCCTCCATGCCCCCGGCCACATGGAGCATTCCCAGAGCAGCTCCCGGTGCTGCTCCCGCTGGGAAGGGGCACAGGTGATGGGCTGGGCTGAGCAGAGCCTTCCAAAGGTCACCTCCCTCTATTGACACAGCTGAGCCCTGCTCCCGCTGCCAGGAACAGGGAATGATGGGGAAACCCATCCCAGGCTTCTCCCTTCCAGCCCCTTCCTTCCTTACCTTCCACTGCCCCGAAGCAGGAGCAGGGGCTCAGGGCATCCAGAGCTCCGGAGCCTGAGGCAGTGTCCCTATGGATCGCACCCCCAGCAGTGTCCCTATGGATCACACCCACAGCAGTGTCCCCATGGGTCACACCCACAGCAGTGTCCCTATGGATCACACCCACAGCAGTGTCCCCATGGGTCACACCCACAGCAGTGTCCCTATGGGTCGCACCCCCAGCAGTGTCCCCATGGATCGCACCCCCAGCAGTGTCCCCATGGGTCGCACCCCCAGCAGTGTCCCCATGGATCACACCCACAGCAGTGTCCCTATGGATCACACCCCCAGCAGTGTCCCTATGGATCACACCCACAGCAGTGTCCCCATGGATCACACCCACAGCAGTGTCCCCATGGATCACACCCACAGCAGTGTCCCCATGGATCACACCCACAGCAGTGTCCCCATGGGTCGCACCCCCAGCAGTGTCCCTATGGGTCGCACCCCCAGCAGTGTCCCTGTGGGTCGCACCCCCAGCAGTGTCCCTATGGATCACACCCCCAGCAGTGTCCCCATGGGTCACACCCACAGCAGTGTCCCTATGGGTCGCACCCACAGCAGTGTCCCTATGGGTCGCACCCACAGCAGTGTCCCTATGGGTCGCACCCACAGCAGTGTCCCCATGGGTCGCACCCCCAGCAGTGTCCCTATGGATCACACCCCCAGCAGTGTCCCTATGGATCGCACCCACAGCAGTGTCCCTATGGATCACACCCACAGCAGTGTCCCTATGGCACGCACCCACAGCAGTGTCCCTATGGATCGCACCCACAGCAGTGTCCCCATGGATCACACCCACAGCAGTGTCCCTATGGGTCGCACCCCCAGCAGTGTCCCCATGGATCACACCCCCAGCAGTGTCCCTATGGGTCGCACCCACAGCAGTGTCCCTATGGATCACACCCACAGCAGTGTCCCCATGGGTCGCACCCACAGCAGTGTCCCTATGGGTCACACCCACAGCAGTGTCCCCATGGATCACACCCACAGCAGTGTCCCCATGGATCACACCCACAGCAGTGTCCCCATGGATCACACCCCCAGCAGTGTCCCCATGGATCACACCCACAGCAGTGTCCCTATGGGTCGCACCCACAGCAGTGTCCCCATGGATCACACCCACAGCAGTGTCCCTATGGATCACACCCACAGCAGTGTCCCTATGGATCACACCCACAGCAGTGTCCCTATGGATCACACCCACAGCAGTGTCCCCATGGATCACACCCCCAGCAGTGTCCCTATGGGTCGCACCCACAGCAGTGTCCCTATGGGTCGCACCCACAGCAGCGTCCCCATGGCACGCACCCACAGCAGTGTCCCTATGGGTCGCACCCACAGCAGTGTCCCTATGGGTCGCACCCCAGCATGGGTCGCACCCCCAGCAGTGTCCCTATGGATCACACCCCCAGCAGTGTCCCTATGGATCACACCCACAGCAGTGTCCCCGTGGATCACACCCCCAGCAGTGTCCCTATGGATCACACCCACAGCAGTGTCCCCATGGATCACACCCCCAGCAGTGTCCCTATGGATCACACCCACAGCAGTGTCCCCATGGATCACACCCCCAGCAGTGTCCCTATGGGTCACACCCACAGCAGTGTCCCTGTGGGTCGCACCCACAGCAGTGTCCCTATGGCACGCACCCCCAGCAGTGTCCCTATGGATCACACCCACAGCAGTATCCCTATGGATCACACCCACAGCAGTGTCCCTATGGATCACACCCACAGCAGTGTCCCTATGGATCACACCCCCAGCAGTGTCCCTATGGATCACACCCACAGCAGTATCCCTATGGATCACACCCACAGCAGTGTCCCTATGGATCACACCCCCAGCAGTGTCCCTATGGATCACACCCACAGCAGTGTCCCTATGGATCACACCCACAGCAGTGTCCCTATGGATCACACCCCCAGCAGTGTCCCTATGGATCACACCCACAGCAGTGTCCCTATGGATCACACCCACAGCAGTATCCCTATGGATCACACCCACAGCAGTGTCCCTATGGATCACACCCACAGCAGTATCCCTATGGATCACACCCACAGCAGTGTCCCCATGGATCACACCCCCAGCAGTGTCCCTATGGGTCACACCCACAGCAGTGTCCCTATGGGTCGCACCCACAGCAGTGTCCCTATGGATCACACCCACAGCAGTGTCCCCATGGATCGCACCCACAGCAGTGTCCCTATGGATCACACCCACAGCAGTGTCCCCATGGGTCGCACCCACAGCAGTGTCCCCATGGATCACACCCACAGCAGTGTCCCCATGGATCACACCCCCAGCAGTGTCCCCATGGATCACACCCCCAGCAGTGTCCCCATGGGTCGCACCCCCAGCAGTGTCCCTATGGCACGCACCCACAGCAGTGTCCCCATGGGTCGCACCCCCAGCAGTGTCCCCATGGCACGCACCTGCACGGGCTCCTCCAGGACTCCACTGCAGATGGGGCAGATGAGGTCCTCGTCCACATCCCCCTGGAAGCGCGCCACATCGTACCCCATCGCTCAGCACCGCCTCCGGGACCCTGCGCACGCGGACACCGTGGTTACGGGAGCATCCCATGGGGTGGGGGGGGATGGAGTGGATCCCAGCCCCCCCCATTCCCAAATCCCATCCCGAGGACGCCGTTCCCAGCTGCTCGCCCTGGCCTGGAGCCGCCCTCGAGCTCTGCCCCACGGCTTCCCAGCTCCTCCTCCTCCCCCATTCCCAATGGGAAGAGCCATGGGAAAGGAGGTCCCAGCCTCAGCACCAGGAGCAACGGGAACACAGGCACACGGATCCCTCTGGAGGCTCCAAGAGGGACACGGCCAAGCCCGTGCCCAAGCTGCTCACGCACCCCCATGGCCTTCCCTTGGGATTCTCCCCCAGGAAAATCCCCTCCGATCCCTTTGGAGGCTGCTCCCAAGCCAAGCCCCAGCAGCTCCATTGGGTTCAAGCCCACTTGGACGCTGGGACCACCCTGACTCCAGGAGCATCCCAGTATCCAAAGGGAATTGCACCGAGTGCCACCTCTTCAGAGCCACATTCCCAATCCCAACATGACCCTGGGAACAACGACCCTGGCGAGACACTCGCACGCCTGCATTCGTATCCAGGGGGAAAAGGCTTTCAGAGGGGAGACTGCGATGGGATCGGGGGCAGCTCTGCGCTGTGAGGGTGGTGGGACATGGGATGGGCTGGACCGGGATGAGGAGCGGGATGAGGAGCGGGATGAGGAGTGGGATGAGGAGCGGGATGAGGAGCGGGATGAGGAGCGGGATGAGGAGCGGGATGAGGAGCGGGATGAGGACCGGGATGAGGGGCGGGATGAGGAGCGGGATGAGGAGCGGGATGAGGAGCGGGATGAGGAGCGGGAGGAGGAGCGGGAGGAGGACTGGGAGGAGGAGCGGGATGAGGAGCGGGATGAGGAGCGGGATGAGGACTGGGATGAGGAGCGGGATGAGGAACGGGATGAGGAGCGGGATGAGGAGCGGGATGAGGACTGGGATGAGGACTGGGATGAGGAGCGGGATGAGGACTGGGATGAGGAGCGGGATGAGGAGTGGGATGAGGAGCGGGATGAGGAGCGGGATCGGGATGGGGACCGGGATGGGGACCAGGATGGGGAGCGGGATGAGGACTGGGATGAGGAGCGGGATGAGGAGCGGGATGAGGACTGGGATGAGGAGCGGGATGAGGAGCGGGATGAGGAGCGGGATGAGGACTGGGATGAGGAGCGGGAGGAGGAGCGGGTTGAGGGGCGGGATGAGGACTGGGATGAGGAGCGGGATGAGGAGCGGGAGGAGGAGCGGGATGAGGAGCGGGTTGAGGGGCGGGATGAGGACTGGGATGAGGAGCGGGATGAGGAGCAGGATGAGGACTGGGATGAGGAGCGGGAGGAGGAGCGGGATGAGGGGCGGGATGAGGAGCGGGATGAGGACTGGGATGAGGAGCGGGATGAGGAGCGGGATGAGGACTGGGATGAGGAGCGGGAGGAGGAGCGGGAGGAGGAGCGGGATGAGGAGCGGGATGAGGACTGGGATGAGGAGCGGGATGAGGAGCGGGATGAGGACCGGGATGAGGACTGGGATGAGGAGCGGGAGGAGGAGCGGGATGAGGAACGGGAGGAGGAGCAGGATGAGGAGCGGGAGGAGGAGCGGGAGGAGGACTGGGATGAGGAGCGGGAGGAGGAGCGGGATGAGGACTGGGATGAGGAGCGGGTTGAGGGGCGGGATGAGGAGCGGGAGGAGGAGCGGGAGGAGGAGCGGGAGGAGGAGCGGGATGAGGACTGGGATGAGGAGCGGGATGAGGACTGGGATGAGGAGCGGGATGAGGAGCGGGATGAGGAGCGGGTTGAGGAGCGGGATGAGGAGTGGGGTGAGGAGCGGGATGAGGAGCGGGATGAGGAGCGGGATGAGGAGCGGGAGGAGGAGCGGGATGAGGAGCGGGAGGAGGAGCGGGATGAGGACTGGGATGAGGAGCGGGATGAGGAGCGGGAGGAGGAGCGGGATGAGGACTGGGAGGAGGAGCGGGATGAGGAGCGGGATGAGGAGCGGGATGAGGAGCGGGATGAGGAGCGGGATGAGGACTGGGATGAGGAGCGGGAGGAGGAGCGGGATGAGGACTGGGATGAGGAGCGGGAGGAGGAGCGGGATGAGGACTGGGAGGAGGAGCGGGAGGAGGAGCGGGATGAGGACTGGGATGAGGAGCGGGATGAGGAGCGGGATGAGGAGCGGGATGAGGACCGGGAGGAGGAGCGGGATGAGGAGCGGGATGAGGACCGGGAGGAGGAGCGGGATGAGGAGCGGGATGAGGAGCGGGATGAGGAGCGGGATGAGGAGCAGGATGAGGACTGGGATGAGGAGCGGGAGGAGGAGCGGGATGAGGACTGGGATGAGGAGCGGGAGGAGGAGCGGGATGAGGACTGGGAGGAGGAGCGGGAGGAGGAGCGGGATGAGGACTGGGATGAGGAGCGCGATGAGGACTGGGATGAGGAGCGGGATGAGGAGCGGGATGAGGAGCGGGATGAGGACTGGGATGAGGACTGGGATGAGGAGCGGGATGAGGACTGGGATGAGGACTGGGATGAGGAGCGCGATGAGGACTGGGATGAGGAGCGGGATGAGGAGCGGGATGAGGAGCGGGATGAGGACTGGGATGAGGACTGGGATGAGGAGCGGGATGAGGACTGGGATGAGGAGCGGGATGAGGAGCGGGATGAGGACCGGGATGAGGAGCGGGATGAGGACTGGGATGAGGAGCGGGATGAGGAGCGGGATGAGGAGCGGGATGAGGAGCGGGATGAGGAGCGGGATGAGGACTGGGAGGAGGAGCGGGATGAGGAGCGGGATGAGGAGCGGGATGAGGAGCGGGAGGAGGAGCGGGATGAGGAACGGGATGAGGAGCGGGATGAGGAGCGGGATGAGGACTGGGATGAGGAGCGGGATGAGGAGCGGGATGAGGACTGGGATGAGGACTGGGATGAGGAGCGGGATGAGGACTGGGATGAGGAGTGGGATGAGGAGCGGGATGAGGACTGGGATGAGGAGCGGGATGAGGAGCGGGATGAGGAGCGGGATGAGGAGCGGGATGAGGAGCGGGATGAGGAGCGGGTTGAGGGGCGGGATGAGGAGCGGGAGGAGGAGCGGGATGAGGAGCGGGTTGAGGGGCGGGATGAGGAGCGGGAGGAGGAGCGGGATGAGGACTGGGATGAGGAGCGGGAGGAGGAGCGGGAGGAGGACTGGGATGAGGAGCGGGATGAGGAGCGGGAGGAGGAGCGGGATGAGGACTGGGATGAGGAGCGGGAGGAGGAGCGGGAGGAGGACTGGGATGAGGAGCGGGATGAGGAGCGGGAGGAGGAGCGGGATGAGGACTGGGATGAGGAGCGGGATGAGGAGCGGGAGGAGGAGCGGGTTGAGGGGCGGGATGAGGAGCGGGATGAGGAGCGGGTTGAGGGGCGGGATGAGGAGCGGGAGGAGGAGCGGGATGAGGAGCGGGTTGAGGGGCGGGATGAGGAGCGGGAGGAGGAGCGGGATGAGGACTGGGATGAGGAGCGGGATGAGGAGCGGGATGAGGAGCGGGATGAGGACTGGGATGAGGACTGGGATGAGGAGCGGGAGGAGGACTGGGATGAGGAGCGGGATGAGGAGCGGGATGAGGAGCGGGATGAGGACTGGGATGAGGACTGGGATGAGGAGCGGGAGGAGGACTGGGATGAGGAGCGGGATGAGGAGCAGGATGAGGAGCGGGAGGAGGACCGGGATGAGGAACGGGATGAGGAGCGGGATGAGGAACGGGATGAGGAGCGGGATGAGGACTGGGAGGAGGAGCGGGATGAGGAGCGGGATGAGGAGCGGGATGAGGACTGGGATGAGGAGCGGGATGAGGAACGGGATGAGGAGCGGGATGAGGAGCGGGATGAGGACTGGGATGAGGACTGGGATGAGGAGCGGGATGAGGACTGGGAGGAGGAGCGGGATGAGGAGCGGGATGAGGAGCGGGATGAGGGGCGGGATGAGGACCGGGATGAGGAACGGGATGAGGAGCGGGATGAGGAACGGGATGAGGAGCGGGATGAGGAGCGGGATGAGGACTGGGATGAGGAGCGGGATGAGGAGCGGGATGAGGACTGGGATGAGGCCCTTTTCCCCCCTTCTCTTCCTTCCCTTTTCCTGGTGCTCCGGCTCCAGCCTCATTGGGACCTTCCTGGCCCGGGCCCTTTGGGTGCTGCTCCTCCCAAGAGCACCAAGGGCTGGACGGGACGGGAGAGGAAGCGCTCTGGCATTCCATGGACATCCCATGCTGGCCACCCCAGCCCTTTCCCAAAGCTTCCCAGAAGCCCTTGGGGAGCAGAGCGGAAAGGGGAAGGCACCGCCCGGGAATGCTGCGGATGCTGCCTTGGGAGAGGCCTGGATCCAAGGGGAACGGGGACAGCTCCGCCGGCATTCCCGCCGTGAGGAAGCAGGACCCATCCCATCTCCAGGGGCTCACACACAGGATTCCCCCCGGGCACGTCCCAGGATTCCTTTGGGAATCCACCGCGCCCCGCAGAGCATTCCAAGCCCTGGGAATTCCTCCGCCTCTTCCCGGGGGGCTCCGAGGGCTCTTCCCAGCAATTCCCGCTTTGGGAAGCACTGGAGAGCTTCGCATTCCCAAGGCCACTGCTCCACGGGGAGATTCCCAAACCAGTTCTGTCGCATGCCCACCACCACCGTGAAGCATCCCATAATAACCGGGGCTGGAGGAGCTTTATGGTCCCTTCCCAGGGAAAGCATTCCAGGATTCCATGATTCAGGCAGGGCTGGATGGGTTCAACCCTGCCCGTGCCTCGGTGCCGGAGCTGCTCCCATAGGAGCCAAGTCCCGGGCAGGAGCGCTTTGGGAGCCCCTGGGGCTGGAATTCCATGGAATCCTTTGGGATTTGAGGCTCTTCCTTGGGAGCTGCTCCAGCAGCGGGCCTGGAGCATTCCCGAGGGCTCCATGGGGAGGGAGGGGGTGCCCACCGCATCCCGATGGATACGGCTTACCTTGCGCGGCAGAATTCCCGGCGGAGCGGCGCGGGGCAGGGCCGCGCTCCCAAAGGCCCATCTTTTCCCTTCGCCTCCTCCGCAGCTCCCGGCGCCCGTCCTGGAATGCCGGGAGCAAGGAACGGGAATGGGATGGGAAGGCTCCGCTCCTGCAGGAGCCCAGGCGCCTTCCCAAGCGCTCCATGAGCGGGGAAGGGACGCTGGGAGCTGCCTCCTCATCCCTCTTGTCCCGTTGGAATGGGAAGAACAAAGCTCCCACCCGCCCCAGGCTCAATGCAACCAAGCCCCTGAGGGAACCCCCCCTCTGGGGGCTCCCATTGGGAACAAACCCCCCCTCTGGGTGCTCCCATTGGGAACAAACCCCCCTTTGGGTGCTCCCAATGGGGACAAACCCCCCTTTGGGTGCTCCCAATGGAACAAACCCCCCTTTGGGTGCTCCCGTTGGGAACAAACCCCCCCTTTGGGTGCTCCCAATGGAACAAACCCCCCTTTGGGCGCTCCCAATGGAACAAACCCCCCTTTGGGTGCTCCCAATGGGAACAAACCCCCCCTCCGGGAACAAACCCCCCTTTGGGTGCTCCCAATGGAACAAACCCCCCTCTGGGTGCTCCCATTGGGAACAAACCCCCCTCTGGGTGCTCCCAATGGGAACAAACCCCCCTTTGGGTGCTCCCATTGGGAACAAACCCCCCTTTGGGTGCTCCCAATGGAACAAACCCCCCTCTGGGTGCTCCCATTGGGAACAAACCCCCCTCTGGGTGCTCCCAATGGGAACAAACCCCCCTTTGGGTGCTCCCATTGGGAATAAATCCCCCTTTGGGTGCTCCCATTGGGAACAAACCCCCCTTTGGGTGCTCCCATTGGGAACAAACCCCCCTCTGGGTGCTCCCGTTGGGAACAAACCCCCCTTTGGGTGCTTCCAATGGGAACAAACCCCTCTGGGTGCTCCCAATGGGAACAAACCCCCCCTTTGGGTGCTCCCAATGGAACAAACCCCCCTTTGGGTGCTCCCAATGGGAACAAACCCCCCTTTGGGTGCTCCCAATGGGAACAAACCCCCCTTTGGGTGCTCCCGTTGGGAACAAACCCCCCTTTGGGTGCTCCCAATGGAACAAACCCCCCTTTGGGTGCTCCCGTTGGGAACAAACCCCCCTTTGGGTGCTCCCAATGGAACAAACCCCCCTTTGGGTGCTCCCAATGGAACAAACCCCCCTTTGGGTGCTCCCATTGGGAACAAACCCCCCTTTGGGTGCTCCCAATGGAACAAACCCCCCTTTGGGTGCTTCCAATGGGAACAAACCCCCCTTTGGGTGCT